TCAGGACATTGGGCATAGGTGTTTGGTTTTTTTTTTTTTCCAGAAGAAACCTTTCCCGTGGTGTTAAAACTGAGAAATCGTGGCACTAGTCCTCGAGAAAGTCTTAATTTGAGGCCGGAATAAACTCTCAAGCTCTTATTTCACTAGTGGTGCTCCCCGGGGTGGCTTTCCCGAGCCTGGCCTAAGAGAAAGGCTCTTCCTGCCGGGGCTCTGCTGGATTTAGCAGCTGGGGAGGGAGCGGAGGGTCCGCGCAGCGGGCTCGGGGGGTGCCTGCTGCCCTCACGCGCTGCCGTGTGGCTTCGGGGGGGGAGCGGTGGCGGAGCAGAGCCCCCGGGAAAGCGCCCGCCGTCCCCGCCCGGGGAGAGCTGCTCTTTGTCCCGATGAAAACCCCACGGCGGCGACGAGCGCAGGGCTCCGCGCTTTGCCGTGGAGTCGTGTCTCTTGGCTTTTTTTTCGTTGTTGTGGCGGAGACGGAAGAAGGTGTCGGGGAGACGCGGGGCTGAGGCTGCGTCTGGCCCGGCTGCAGCTGCCTCTCGCGTTTTTTAGCGAGGAGCTGGAGCTCCCAGCTCTGGGCCAGCGCTTGTCCGGTGACCCAGAGGTCGGATCCGATCGGAAAACTCAGGGGAACGCGGAGACAACTCGTCTGTGCCCTGCCCTGTGTCTCGCTGCGTGTCCCCAGCTGTGTGACCGTAGGGCTGCCGCCCCAGAAAGCACATTTTGGGGGTAAACCTCGACTGTTTCACGAGCTGACGCTCTCCTCTCCGTGTTTCAGCGTTGACAACAGCGAGTACATGAGGAACGGAGACTTCCTACCCACTCGCCTGCAGGCCCAGCAGGATGCTGTCAACATCGTGTGCCACTCGAAAACCCGGAGCAACCCCGAGAACAACGTGGGGCTCATCACCTTAGCCAAGTGCGTCCCGGGGGGAACCGGCCTCGGGTGACGCTGGGGGGGACACGTCAGGGAGCTGGGGGGCAAGGGACAGCGGGAGTGTTGCAAAACGGGGCAGCAATAACGGGCTAAAACCAGACCGGTTCTTCCTGGAGGGCTGGTACGAGAAATCCTGGTTCCTGATGGGAGATGTTCTGGAGGTTTCTCCCCCGGGACCTCTCTGCCAGGCCCGTCCTTTTGCGGCCTCGTGTCCCGGAGGGTGGCAGGTGAGGCCTGAGCTGTCACCGTAGCTCACGAGCGGCCCCAGGAGAGTGTTTCCTCCGTTTTGCTGAAGTCTCTGGGATTTCTGTGAGGTCTCTCTTAGCCAGTTGGTTAAAATTGGCCACTGGGCTCAAGGTTGCCGGGGCAGGGGTCAGAGGCACCCGCAAGCCTTCACGCAGATGGATTACTTCGGGTTTTTTTTTTTTAGGAAACCAGGCTAAAAGTCCTGCTCCCTGACGCGCTGACCCCCGGCGCCGAGCAGGGGCAGGACGGGCCTTTCCGACCCCCGTCCCAAATACAGGCGCTGACGTGAGTGTGTTTGCGTTGCAGTAACTGTGAAGTGTTGACCACGCTCACTCCAGACACGGGCCGGATCCTTTCAAAGCTACACACGGTGCAGCCCAAAGGGAAAATCACCTTTTGCACGGGGATCAGAGTGGCTCATGTAAGTGTCTTGTCGGTTCCTCACGAGGAGCCTGCACCTTTCTCTGTCACTCCTTTTGCCTTAGCGTGTCTCTTAAATTACCCGCCCTGGGGACAGCTCGGACACGGGAGCCCTTGTTCTCTCCCTGCCTCTACGGCTGAACGATACCAAGCAAACCCTTTTGGTTTTGCCTCAGTTTCCCCACCTGCAGACGCAGGTGACGCCTCCTTTATAAAACCCGATATAAAAGCTCGGGCATTTGCTTCAGAGGAACCTGCCAGCTGCTTCGCAGGCGTCCAGCCGAGCTGCACAGCCCTCCCTGCCCCGAGGGGGGTCCCCGGGATGTGCCCACCCTGTTTTCTTGCTCGGGCCCAGACTCTCTCTCTGCCAACAAACTGCTCCCAGCAGAGTCACCACGGTCAAAGGGGAGGCCCTGGGGACAGTTCGGTGACGCTTCTGCCGAAAAGTCCCTCCTGACGTTTAGCCTAAAGCTTCCTGTGTACCAGGAAGAGTGTTGGGGTGCCAGCCGGCCCCCCCTTTTTCCTGGGAATTGCTCCTTAAGTACAACACGGCCTCTGTCCTGCAGCTGGCTTTAAAACATCGCCAGGGCAAGAACCACAAGATGCGAATCATCGCCTTCGTGGGGAGCCCTGTGGAGGACAACGAGAAAGACGTGAGTGAGAGGCAGAGGGAAGGACGTCGGCTCGGCCTCGCGCCGCAGGTCGGCTTTCCCTGCACCGAGCCAGGTTTTGCGCCCCAGCACGGGGGCAGAGCCGAGCGGGACGGCCGGTCCCCGGCACAGCCCGGGGGGGGGGACCCCAACGGCCCACGGGGAGCTCGGCGCCACGTTCGGGTCCTCCCGGCTTGTGACTGTCGCCAAAACCACTTGGGGCTTTGTGCCCGAGGAGCGGGGGGAGGAAATCTGTGTCCCTGAGTCTGGGCCGTCGTTCTGTTGGCGCGGGTGGAGTTACTGCAGCTGTGCCGGGGCGCTCGGGG